ATGAGTAAATATATAAATTTGTAGTAAAGATCCAATTTTCATAAGCATATTTTGGATCCATTTGATCTATTATAGTTTTCGAGAAAATCAATTCAATTTTTCAAGCGTTAATTTTTCATTTTTTCAACTTTAGATGCGAATTACAGATAAATGAATAAAACCACAGCAAAATATGAAAACTCGCTACATTCCCCAAACATTCAGCTTTCATAGCCATATTTTGGATCTATTTGATCTATTATAGTTTTCGAGAAAATCAATTCAATTTTTCAAGCGTTAATTTTTCATTTTTTCAACTTTAGATGCGAATTACAGACAAACGAATAAAACCACATCAATATATGAAAACTCGCTACATTCACCAAGGATTCAGCTTTCACACTCATCTTTTGTATCCATTTGATCTATTATAGTTTTCGAGAAAATCAATTCAATTTTTCAAGTCTTAATTTTTCATCTTTTTCAACTTTAGATGCGAATTACAGACAAACGATTAAAATCACATTAATATATGAAAACTAGCTACATTCACCAAAGATTCAGCTTTCATACGCATCTTTTGGATTCATTTGATCTTTTATAGTTTTGGAGATAATCAATGAAAACTTTAAGTGTTCTGTTGCAAGAAAACTATGGAATACGTAGAGAAGTTTGAGTTATAAAATATAAATAAATAAGTAAAATATTGCAGTATATTGCAAATATTAATTAACAATCTTGTTAAGAAAGTAAAAAAAATGTTTTTTAACTTTATCTTCACATAATTGTTGGAACTAAAAACTTTTGTTCTATCCACTTTATTTCTTGATGTTATGTGTAGTTCATTTTACGTGAATCACTAAATTGTATATATAAAGTAATTGCACAGTAGGAAGTTTTGTGCATCGAATCAATAACAATAATTAATCGCTCTCTCTCCACTGTAATCTATACAGTGGGTGGTTGGATAGGGAAGTGAGGATGGAGGAGGAGGAGTAGACCGGATAGTTTTCCGAGTAGACTAGAGAGCTGCGCGCACGAACTGTAATTGGATTATTTTAAAGTTACGATTTTGTACGTTGAATTTAGATCATCCGAAACTTTTAATTATATCACACACGATACACATGGTTAGAGCGTGGAAAAAGGGGATAGATGGATCCGAACGAAATGAAGAGGAAATGAGAGAGAGAGAGATAAAGAGAGAAGTATCGATGGAAAAGTTTTTGGGAAACCCCTGCGGATCGTCGAGCTACTACCCTCACTGTCTCTCGCTCTCCAATCCACCCTCTGCACATTATTCGCTAATCAAAATAAATTTTCGACAAAGTGTAATCAATCCAATTCGCCTGGGATTCCACCGATAGTCGGGCTGCTGCCTTCAAAACGTAATTTGCAAAATAATTTACATTGCTTTTCCAAATAAAACTATTAACACTTTTTATACAAACAAAATTTTTCTTGGACAAAAAACTTATAGTTTTGGAAGTTACCAAATTCATTTTCATTAGTTAAAATATCATAAATTAATACCAAATCCATTTTCAATTGAAATTTATACAAAAATCAATAAATTTCTCATGGAAATTATTAAAAATTTAGAGAGTTTCAAAGTTACCAAAACTCTAATTTAATAATTATTACTTGTTACATTTTCATATACAAATTTCTTTAGAAATTAAAGAAAATTATTTTGGAAATTATGAAAAATTACCTAATTTTATTAATAATTATTTACAGTTTCACATTGTTATAATTTAGATAAAATTAATGAATTTCTAATGTGAAAACATCAATAAACTTAAAGAATTTAAAAATTAACAAATTTTATTAATAATGATACAAAATGACATAAATTTATATAAGTTTCATTTAGTATGGAAAGAATATAAAAATTGATTAAATTTAAATGAGAGTAACAATAAATTAACTTTTTCCAAGAAAAAAAAAACAATACAATTGTGAAATAATGTTACAGTTACGTTTAAAAATGAATGAGAAAAGCGGAAGAATAAAGAAATTTATATGTAAGAGATAATAAAGTTGGACACCAAAGTCGGAGAAGCTAAAGTGTTTAATAATGCAAGAACCGTCTCCCTATTTTATTCCTATTTTTTTCTTTCTTTATATCTTTCTTTATTTCTTCATGCTCTCCATATAAAAGCTTCGATAATTGCACAGCATTTACGTTTCGCCTCTCTTTCCAATGATCGATAACATACCTTAATTAATTATTAATCAATAACATTTTATTATAGCGAATGCACGTTTCATTTTTCACCTGACATTTTACACATAATTTTGTATATATTTATCAAAATTTACATTAGGTAGTTCAAATGATTCAATAGTTCAAAAAAAAAAACAAACGTGTTATCTTATGTTAATCTGTATAGTTTGTTGTTGAACTGTGACTCAATTGTTTCTAATATATTTTTTTGACGTTTTGACAGCTGTCACTTCTCGACACGAATAAATGATGAGAAATAAACATGTTTCTTGGATGAATTAAAGTGCAAAATATTTGGGAAATAGTCTGTGAAAAAGAAAGTTATAGTTTTATATCAATGTTAATGTTTCCTGGTGTCTTGCGACGGAGTCAAATATGTAATTTCACCGTTATTACTTATTGATCAGAGTCGGCTCTGATGTGGCCCCGTGCGGCTACTTTCCCGGCTATTATGTAAGTATTTACTGCGGCGAACTTTCGATAAACTAAAATATCATGAATAATGCGGAACGATCTTCAGAAGATGTCTCCGAGGACGAATGGAAGTGAAACACGTTGTCGGATGTAGATCTGGAGGAGTGGGCAATGAAACGAAACAATGGCGTGTAAGTTGTAAAGTGTACGGAGTGGAAGTATTATCTATAGTGGTTCGTTGGAGGGGTGAAACGGGCGAAAGGGAGAAGTAGCCTCAACTGACGTATATAATCAGGTGGCGGCACTTGCGGCTTTCCCACGGCTCTCCACTATTATCAACCTATTATTAATATATTGTTAACGGATATAATAATTACTTATCCTCTCTCTGTCCATTTCACTCTATATATTTAGACATGAACTACATCCGAAAGGGGGTTGGCACTCGTTACACGCCATTAAAAACCCTCTTGAACCCCCCCCCACCTCGCAACATCTCCACTCAAAACCCCCTGTCCCTATCCTCATTTTCCATTCTATTCCCCAAATCTTAATGCTCCAATTCAAGAAAACCATATCATTTCAAACAACAGTATTCCCATATAAATAAACGATTCATTCACTTTAATAACAAGCCACGATAAATAACATTTACAACTCGAATCTCTGATTACACATACACATCACCTTTCAAACCTTCTAGTCATGAAGATTAACCCAATAATTTTAATATTACTTTTTCATTTAATTAATATTTTATATTTGAATCTCAAAAAACACATAAATATCTCATGCTAAAACTATAAGTAATCGAGATTTAAACTTACGTTGAAAAAGTATTATAAAATTTCATAACTTTATAAATTGTTCATTGATTTCGAAAAACATTTACTGTAAATAGTTAAAATAATTTAATAGTTATTTATTTCTCATGAAATTACGATACATAAGAAAATATGTTAATTTAGTTGAGATGAGCGTTTCTCAGCTTCTTTCTAACTTAATATTTGACGTTTTGGCGAAAGGTGACATCTGTCACTGTCATTTAAAATTTGTAGATCATTTAAGGAAATTTCAAATATTGTAAATATCTTGAAATTGTTTTCTATTAAAATACATTTTTCGAGACACATTCGTATTGGAAAATATTAAAACTTTACGAGAATTTCGCAATCATCAAACTTTATTTATTTATTAATTTTTACAGTTTCACATTTAGAAATGTCATAATTTAAATAAAATTTATGAATTTCTAATACAAAAGCATCAATAAACTTAAAGAATTTAAAAGATACCTAAATTTTATTAATTTATTGATACAATTTCTTATTTAATTATCATTAAACAAAATGCCATAAATTTATATAAGTTTCGTTTCGACGAAAGATGACAGCTGTCACTGTCATTAAAAATTTAAATCAATAAGGAAATTTTAAATATATATGAAATTGTTGATTATTTTCTAACAAAATTCACTTTTTAAGACACATTTCATTAAGATATTGTTTAGTTGAGTTATTTTTTTGATTAATGATGTATTAGATTAGAGATGCATTCGAGTATCGTCTATAAATGAATGATGAGGTAAAAACTAAATAAGACTATTATAAAATCGTTACGACAGTCTCGACATGTAAGATTGATGTCTTCGGAATCGTTAGAAGAAAAATAAAACTTTTCTTTCTGTCGATTTTAGTTGTTGTTTTTGGTTTGGTTTGGTTGCATTGTAATTAATGTATCGTTTCGGATTGAGATTGGGTAATTATTGTAGGACGATGATATCGGGACACGCGAAAGAAGAATGCCCGAGTTCCGGCATTAAAACCACAATATTTCTATGTGTACGTGTATATTCGTACACAGTTTGTGTGTATACGTATACGTATTCTGTGTGTGTGTGTTGAATCTAGAAATCGTGCGACACCACTGGAAAATGGTCTGGTGTCGTGTCATCACGGAAGTGGCCAGATATGGCCATTATTGTATCAACAGTAATTAGCCGATATTTCATTAGCGTGTCTCTTTTTCTCTCTCTAGATTTTCACCCCATTTCCGTATCAAATCCCCACTGATAGTTTTAGATAATAAAAATTGATATTTGTAAGCGTTTAACAACAAAAAAAATAACACAATTCAAGTCTTGTTCCCTTTTCTTGTTCTTTGCCATGAAAAGTTGAAAAACGAAACGAACTTTACTGAAATTTTGAAAAACAAAACGTTTCTTTACTTGAAACATGAAGAAGAAAATATTGAAACAAAATAAAGAAAAACAAAAAAACTTTTGTTTCTCCCTCTCCCCCTCTCTAAAAATTTCTGTTTCTGCATTTATTTTTCAACCCTTTGTTTATTTCTCTCTTTTTTGATTTTGTCGTTGTAGGTGTGGGAGTCTGACTTCGAATCCGATCAGTTTGAATCCAAGTATTGGAAGCCGAGCCTCCGAAAGGCTCACGTATTCGAAAGCCCTTGCGATAGAAAGGTCAGTCTAGGTTTTCCCAATTTTTTTTTTGCCATCAAAAAATTATATATATTAACAAAAAATTTGATTCCTCCCCCATAAACATGTTAGGTTTTCTGCATATACCTGTTTCCTTCTAGATTTATGGGCTGTTTAAAACAAACTACCGGATTTATATTGAACAATTTACGATAATCGAATTATGGAATTGTAACAATATCAAGAAATTATCATTATTTCATTGAAATATATCAATAATTCAATTACATAAAATAATAATGTAATTGTAACAACGAACCGAATTTCGTTAGAAACAACGTTAGTTACATAATAACATTAATATCTATAAAAATTGCTGAGAAATAACTAAAAAAATAATTACTAGTTAAATATTATAATGATTTCTCAATAAGAAAAGTTTTTGCTTGCATGTTGCTATTACTTGAATCTATTTATGGAAATTTAAATGAACAAACAGAAGGTTAACGAAAGAGCGTAGAAGAATAAACAGTTGAAGAAGAGGTGGCGTATCTGGAAATAGAGTTTGTTGTTTTTTTTCTCTCTCTATATAGTTGGCCGTGTAAATATCTAGAGGTGTTCTAGGATCGATGTGTTAACCTTAGTTAATTATCAATAAGAAAAGTTTTTTTAAGCGTCATCTTCTAGACATTACAGATACACGTTTCAATCATTTCTTTTAATAAAGTTTACACGTACATTTCTTTAATTTTTGATTGAAATTTTGAATAAAATAAGAATTTACAGATCATTTTTACTAAATTGGCAATTTTTGCTTGCATTTTGCTATTATTTGAATCTATTTATGGAAATTTAAATGAATAAACGGAAGGTTAACGAAAGAGCGTAGAAGAACAAACAGTTGAAGAAGAGGTGGCGTATCTGGAAATAGAGTTTGTTGTTTTTTTTCTCTCTATATAGTTGGCCGTGTAAATATTTAGAGGTGTTTCAGGATCGATGTGTTGGGTTAAGGTTATTAACTGGTAATTTTTATTAAACCAATAAGTGACCGTTTTACTGCCATAACATATGTATACGTTGCTGCATACATACGTACGGATACCGATGTTATTACGATAAAAAATTCATAAAAAATCGTACGCCGCGCGTCGCCTGAAGCGAGGGGGGTAGCAGCAGCAACAGCAGCAGCAAGAGGTGGAGGAGTGCTCCGAGAGTGTCTGCTCTAAAAAATTCATAGTAAACAGTTGTTTGATGTAATGCGAAATCGTTGCTAGTTTTCATAAATGCATACACGGCATATTTATTTAACACATAACGTTGCGCCACAATCCAACCCCCATTACATTTTTTTTTTTGTTTGTTTCATCAACGTGTTTTGTTTTAGTTTTTTTTTTCATTTACATTTTGTTTTTTTGCAATTTCACCTCAAAAGCAAAGCCATTACTATTTTTTTTTGTTTGCATTATTCGCGTAACATTCATTTATTTTTGTTTCTGCTCTAGCATTGTTTCAACTTTTTTTTTTTTGTTTTTGTTAATTTTTCGCTTCGCATTTTGATTCCCCCAAAAACCCGATCAGCGTGATTTTATTTGTTGTTTTTTTTTTGCCGGCATGCGGAAAAACACTCGAAAAATGGGGATGAAAAAACGCAACGCGAAATGCACGCCAAAAAATATTTGTATGTGGACCGGGGGGGATGAATCCCGATAAAAATCGCTTTTACATACTATTAAAACATTAATTATTTAGGGACATTTTTATGCAGAGCGCGCGCCCGACTCTGGCTTTTATTTATGGTGAATAAAAAATGCGATTGGGAATTGCATGTTTTTTGTTAGATACGTTTTTGGAGTGAAACATATGGACTTTGTAAGGGATTCGTATGTTTCGGAAGGGTGGGTTAGGGGTGCACCTGTAGATGGTACCTGTTTCTGTAGAGAAAGAGGGCGAGGGGCGATAACTGCGAAAAGAGCAACATATGTGAGGTTGTTGTTGTTGTTGTTATTGGGAGGGTTGTTCGAAGCGCAGTTAGCCGCCTATTGAAATCTAATTAATTGCACATAACTCATTCCTCGGAAGACCGCAGCGAATTCATAAACTTGGAGGGGTGATGCGAATGGAAAAGAATCTGTACAATCGTGCATATTGTTAAAGGGGGTGGTTGGAGGGTTTTGACGGCGGGGATGGTGGCGGCAATAAAGCGAGCTTCTGCCGCCGCCGCCGCGCTTAAAATGGCGGCCGGCGCGGACTCGGAAGTGACGTAACGATCGATAGAGGCAGCCCTGCGATTGGCGCGCTCTAAGTCTGCGGGGGCGGAGCAAAATCCATCCGGTGGCGGCGGCTGTTTCACGACGGAGTTCGACTGTTTCGGATCTCCTGAAAAATCCTGAAATCCTCCATGAAAACGGAGTTATTTTACAATACTGCAGCTGTAGCGTACATTATTATTATACGCTGATAAAGCATTAACAACAGTCGCATGATTGCGTGCATTAAAAGGACTTTGACAAAGCGTCGCGACGCACGGAACATCGCGCGACCCGAAAAAGCGCACACGGTATTATAGTTTACACACTTCACAGCTGAAAACAAATCTATTAACCTACTGTTCGGTTTGGTGGCCGGAAAACGCGAACCACAAATTAATCCACAAAAGTTAATAGAAATCAATTTTAAATATAACTTATTCTTCAATAATCAATTTAATTGAAATCGCTGAATAATAATAATAATAAATCACATGTTATCAAATAATTACGTTCTTTAATAACAAAATCAAATGAAAATGGAAATTTCATTAAAATTCAACACAATTCACACAAATTACTTCAATAAACAAATACATTGTAAATATTAAAAATTATAGAAATCAATTAAATTTCCTCATTTCATCTATACTAATGTGTTTCTAAAAGTAAATTAATTGGAAAATGATTGAAATTAATGATAATAATGAATAAAAAAATTTAACTATTTTTACAAGTTTCCCATAAGAAATTTCCATCAATTAATTGATGATGAAATACTACAAAAACCAAACCAATTCAATATTGTAAAAGATATTATTCTCATTTATCATTTAATGTAATTAATTTAAACATGAATGAAATTAATGTTACTAATAAATAAAAATACACAAGTAAGACGTTCAATCAATTAATTAATAATGAAATACTTCCAAATCCAACTCAAATTGAAATTTACAAAATTTGAAGAAAACAATTCAATATTATTTAAACAGTTTTCGTATAAGATCATCATAGATATCAATTAATTAATAAAGTAGTTTAAAAACTCTTTATTTTTAACCAATCTTTTTTAAATGTTAAACCACTTTTAATCACAAATTCACTTCAAAAACTAAATCAAATAAAATGTTAAGAAATACATTTAAACCGTCTACATAATATAAGAATTGGGTCAAAATCAATAATTATTGCCAAATCCATTAATAAAAGAATCTATATATTAATATTATCCATCCAAAATATAAAATTAATGTTTGAAATATTGAATTACGTATTATAATCAGAGTGTCATAAAAGAATCGTTACCATCAATTCAAATTATTGCTACATTTTCAAAAGTTTTTGATAAATTACATACATTCAATTATTATGTATATTGTTAGTTAAAATTGGTACAGAAATAATAATATATATCTATTGTAAGATTGTCATAAAAGAAAAATTACGATTTTCTTTTTATACAATTTTATAGTTAATATCGGAGTCTAAACCGTAAACCGAAATTAACTGGAATTTTTCACTGAAAAACTGCTTAACGGAACGGAACAGAACGAAAAATTGCTTAATTGAAAACCCGAAACCGAAATTTTAATTACGGTTAATTTCGGTTCAATTAATTTTCGACATTGTGTTGTCTATTGTGAATAGAGTATATAAACAAAGAATGTATAAGAATAACAACTACGAAGTCTCTTTGAATACTCTGAATTCTTTTTTCAAATAAACAAATACATAATAGACATCAAGTCCGAATTTCGTGGGAACGCTTAATCATCAATATAAATAAAGCCTCAATCACCACCAATTAACCACCGACTAAAAAGAGGAAATTTGAAGAAGAAAGGGCGAGCACAAGTCTTGTGCAACTAACATTAGAACAAACATGACTGAAGGAACAATACAAAGTGCATGTGTTGAACTAGTCACTAATTAATTTTTATTTCTTTTGTATTTTCAATTATATAATTGAAAACAATAGTAAGAATGGAATTTGGTAAATAAAATTAAATCAAAATTTGATATTTGGACTCGATTTTAAATTTTAATTAACCAATTTAAATTGCTTTTCTTTTTCGATTTTAATTTCAATCTGAACTGAACCGGAATCGAACCGGAACTGAACAGAAATTATTAGACGAATCTGGAACGATAAACAGTTACTTGGAATGTAACCGTAAACCGGAACGAACAAAGCGGTTCGACTCTCTGCTTTATATATTAAAATTATTTATATTAATACTTATAATTGGGCAAAAAGACCTATGGTCAATAGACTTTTGTATCAGTTGACTGTTTTTGAAATTATATTTATTTTGTTCTTTTTATTTCTGAATATGTCTTTTTTTTTGTACGACTGATGCAATAAACATTGTTATTATCAGGTAAAATTTTAATATAATTGATTACAAAATCATTTCAAAAAGATGTGTTACCAATTATTCAAGTAATAACTATTAATTAAATTTGCATTGCAATAATACAGAGTGTCATAAAAGAAGCATTACCATCAAATTAAATTGTTGTTATATAAGTTTTTTTTTGTAAATTTTACAACGTTTAACAATAATACAAACTGTCATAAAAGAAGCGTTACCAATATTATTTTCGTGTTCACGTTGAAGTGTCAAAACGGAATGGAAACTCTTTTTTTCTTTCTACTTATTCTTCTCCATGTGACATTTGAAAGGTTGGCAGGAAATAAAGGGCAGCGAGAATGCATAAAAAAAAGGAAAATCCTCCAGTCGTGTAACACTCGTCTTCGGTACGAACGTGCGTCAAGTATTCGGGATGAATTATGACGTGAATGTGTCTGAGGGTTTTTTTTCTCCTCTTTCCTCTACGTGTGTATATATATATATATATTTTTTTAAGTTCTCATCCCTCGTTGATCTACATGGAAGCGAGACGGGGTTCTTTCTGGTCGCGTGATACGCCGGATTATGCGGCGCGTGGCCCCCATTTCAGTTATATTCATACTCACACACACATTCATTCACTCAGTCTTTTTTTTTGTATATATTTCGGGACTTCCCCGTCGTTGTCCACTCGAGCCACCCCACCGGTACTCTTCAGTCCACTTGAGGGAAAACAGCAGCAACAACACACACACAAAAAAAAGAACACACATATAGAGAAACGAAGCAAAAGAGGGTAACAAAATATATATAAAAAAAAAACACCCTGTCGCATGTCGTCCGACGCTCAGGAAATGAATATTATATTCGATAATAATCTCCCGGTTTCCCTGGCCCATCATGCAAATGTATGTACATAAGGACCTAATGATTGTGTTGTATACGATGGAATTATTGTGATACGGCTGCAACGATTCGACAACACAAATTTCCAATTCGCAATCACGCGCTCCACTTTCAATTCGTTCTCCTTCTCTACCGTCTACATTTCAGTTTCGTTTTTCCACTCTTTTTTCCACTCTTTTTTTTTCAAATTTCAATTCCGTGCTTCCGTACTTAACGCGTCACGAAACGCGCACCCCGCGTTAAAGGGCGAACGAAACGGAACGAGCAAGAACAGACAACAGACAAAAAAAAATTACACTAATTTATATTAATGCGGGGAGATTACTAAAGTTAATTAAATTAGGAGAGACGTGCCTTTCTTTTATTCCTAAATTACTTCGTATCACTTTCCGACGAATACATTACAATTACAGCTGCTTACATTTAAGACAATAGGAGAAAATAACTCGATTTGTACATGTATTTCAGTGTAAATCATTTATTACTTACACTTTTAAACGCTTACTGTTTTCATAATTTAAATATATTACATAAAACATATAAACTATTCATTCTTTTTAATAAAAATGAAAAAAAAATGAATAACTCGATTAGTACGGTTTTGCTATTAGTGCAAATAAACTACTCATTTTTTTAAATCTGATATAACTTCAATAGAAACAATATAATTTAAAATATGTATAAATTACTCGTTTAGTACGTTTTTTTTTACGTTTACTAAAACACTTTTAAAAGCAATAATTTTAATTTATTATTTAGTATTAGTAAAACAGATTTGATTGTAGGAAACAATTATAAATAATATAAGTTTTAGTAAGAAATCAAAATTTGATTCTAAAACTTATTTTATTAATAATTTATTAGAAATGTACATGTTTAAGTAAAAAATATATTGAAAAGAACATTTAAAATTCTATTCTACTGAAATTTCATTAAAAAATTGTTGTAACTTTAGTTGAAAGAAAATTATTGTAAATCAAAATAGTAACGTTTCTTTTATGACACAATGGAACTTGATAAATTCTTAAATAAACAATAATTTTTGCTTTATTTGCTACTTATCAGTATTTAAATTATGTGTATTTTGAGGAGTTTAAAGTTTGATTTCAATTTGACCATTTTTCCACTTGATTTTGATGAACATTTTTGTATTGAAAAATTAAACAAATATTTTGTTTTGTATTGAAAAATTAAACATATTTGTTTTAATAAAATATTTTCTAAAAATAACTTACAAACATTTTCATAATAAACATTTAACATATAAATTAAGTGTATTTTGAGAAGTTTATAGCTTGTTTTTAATTTTTGACTATTTTTCGGTTAATTTTGATGAAATTTTTTGCATCAAAAATTGAAAAATTAATGATTTTTTTTAATTTAATGATAATCTAGGTATTATTTACTACAATTGTACATAATCATTAAAATTATGTACATTTAGAGTACTTTTCAGTTGATTTTGATGATTTTTTTTTGTATTGGAAATTAAAAAAATATTTTTTGTTGAATTAAATTTTTGTAGAAATAACTTACTAGAATTATCATAACAAACATTTAACATAAAAATTATGTGTATTTTGAGAAGTTTACAGTTTGATTTTAATTTTTGACCATTTTTCAGTTAGTTTTGATGGTTTTTTTTGAATCAGAAATTGACAAATTAATGATTCTTTTTTAAATTTAATAATAATCTAGGTATTAATTACTACAATTTACATAATCAATCAAATTTTGTAAATTTTGAGAACTTTTCAGTTGATTTTGATGAAAATTTTTTGTATTGGAAATTGAGAAAATATTTTTTTTTTAATTAAATTTTCTAGAAATTAGAAACTAATATTTAGTATATATATATATATAGTATAGTATTATGTTCGACCATTTCCGGTTGATTTTGATGAACATTTTAGTACCGGATTTTTGTAAATAAAATTTCTTAAAAATAAATTGCTACAGTTTCTGTAATAAACATCAAAGTTTCAAGACAACAACAACAAAAAAATAGCAATTAAGATTCGTGTTTCAGTCGTCTAAAAGGGAGAGTAGCTGTCTGATATAGACAGAGGGAGTAGCAGCAACTCCGTAATCCAATTAAGCCGTCTAATTTCCATGACAACAATTAAGTCCAGGTCGTTGGGGGTAGAGCGCGCACCTCGGAAGGGTGTATATACATATATTCATATATTTTTTTACCGTTTTCTGTTGTCTTCCCCGAGAAAAGGGATCGGAAAAGGGAATTTCTGAGCATTCGCATCTACATAACACACAGAGCAACAACAAACACATCACAGCACATGATTTACACGCAGTCTTTTCTCGTGAGAGACTACCTCGAGGGGGCGACCTTAATTGCGTCCCGTAATCCAATCCTTACTTCCTTCACTAACAAGTGAAGAACCAGAGAAATGCGAAATATAAGTTTTTTTTTCTACACGAAAAACTAATTAAATTGAGGAAAAGGATAGATTTTTTATACCAGATGTTTTTATATTTCAGAGGATGTTAGAAGATGCATCAATTATGTGCAATTCATGGTCGCCAAGACACAACGTAAGTGAATTTGCATGATGAAAAAAAAAAATTAAAAAAAAAAGTTTTTGAAGAAATTATTTATTATTTGCTGGCGCTTATAATTATGAAACTATTAGTTTTCTATTTCTGTTTTGACTATTTAGGACGCTTTGATGCAGTTTTAAGCTATTTCCTTTTGTATTAATTTATATAATTTGATTAATTTCTTGTAAATTTTGATAATCTGAACATTGAACTACAAAATATATGTCAACAATTAGATTATTTACGGATTATTATTTAACATGTTTTTATGATTAAATAAACGAATAAAATATACTCAAATATTCATAGAAAAAAATATTTATTATATTTTATTCGTTAATCACTCGAACAGTTTTGATTGGAAACAGTTCATTTGCAAATTTCCTATACGTAAAAAGTCGTTGGCTCTATACACAAATAGATACAAAACTATATGGACTGTATAGTGTGTGCATCGGATCCGTTTTCATTTCGCCGGAGTCGACAGATTGAATCAAATTAAATAAAACGCTAATTCGATTTCGCGCTTCCAATTCGAATCCGATTGGAAAAAGCGGGCGAAAATTATTATTAAAATTTATATAAAAAAAACAACAACGACGATTTAAAAATGATGCGGGACGGAAAACAAGGAAACCGTGAGTGTTTAATTATACGAAATAAAATCGAAGCGGACGAACGTTTTTATTGCTTTGTTTTGTTTTTTTAATTTCAATGAATGGATTTGACAAGGAAAGGAAATTTTTCTCTTTTTTTTATATATATATTTTTTCGTTAATGGTTTCGTGCTTCATGCGAGCTAATTGGACGAAATTTACATGTTATTTAATTAACTGCTAAGTGTTTTTTGCTCGTTTTTTGATTATAATTAGAAAAATAATGTATGATTTTTTTGTAGTTTTCATTGATTTTATTGTTTAATCTGAATTATTTAACGACTTAAATTTATTATTAATTAATTAATGTGAAAAAATATCATTTTAAATTTATTAAAATTTGTATTCAAATATAAATTTGAACTGTTTATTATGAAAGAATGTTGAAAGAATGAGAATAATGTCTTCATTCTAATTTAATATGCAATTTTGTGGAAACGTTTCTTGAGCAGGTAATGTTTTTTTTTGTTTAAAATAAAAAGTTTTTCCATCCAACTGGGATTTGCAGAGAGGGCTTCGACATACAAAAAAAAAAGTGAGCGTTACTAATGGATGGAACGTGAAAACTGCGCGCGGAGTGCAAAAAAATAAAAAATAAAAGAAGAGAGAGAAGCAAAGTTGTCTCCAATTAGTGAAAGCGCCCCCTCTCGATAAAATTATTGACAAATTAATGGTTGTTAGGGATGAAGGGAATCCCGCTGGATGCATTACAATCGTCTGAATAATGTATGCGCTTCAAGGGAGGGAAAAACAATGAGAGAGAGGAGAAAATAAATAAAAATAAATAAAAAGAAAGAAAAAAAAAAAAAAGAAGGAACGTAGCGTAAAAGGGACATTTTAAAATACAAGAAATCTCAATTATGCGCCGAACTGTGATGGAGCGATGGAGGTTGAAGAGAGAAAAAGCGAGACGTCGAATCAATTAGCGCAGTTTTAAAGGGGGGAGGGGGGTGCAGAAGAAGATGTGGGGGTGGTTGAGGATGAGGAGGAAATAATATAACCCGTCGGTGTGTCCGGAAGTGGCAGGATCCTACCGGAAACGGAAGGGGGCGTCCTCCTACTAACAAGTAAAGGGGGGCCGCGCTGAATTATATATGAAGCGTAAGAACTAACTTACGCAACGCCCTGAAACACCCCCACTTCTTTCTCTCTCTCTCTCTCACTCTCTCTACAATTCTCTCTTTCCGTCTTTCTCGCACTCTTTATAAGCACACGCAACGCGAATTTACAAGAAAATCGAAAGAAAATTTATATATAGACACAAGAATGGTGACTAAAACTCCCGCCCTAAGGTCATTTCCCATTTCCATTTAATTCTGAGAAAACAAGTTATTATAAGCGATATTTCTGAAAGCTCGTACATAAAAGACCCTCGAGAAGCTTCAACTTAATGTATTGTGGGTTGGTGTTCAACGAAAACCCGACGCATCCACCATTAATTACAATCAATACATTAAAAGTAATTATAATCTCATTTTCAATCTATAAATAATTTGAATTTGCAAATAGATCTGAAAAATGTGAAAATGATTCGTAAATATGATTTTTTGTTAAATTTATTAACTTTCGTCAAATGTCAATTATGAGTTGATAAATTGCACCCTTAAGAAATTTCTCGGAAATAAATTGCATTTTAATTGCGCACGTCGTAAACAAACAAATAACGAAACGCTTGGCAATTAGAGTGAATTGTATTTTCTTTATAATTATTTTTGTTTTTTCGTGCGAGTGCTAATTACACTTCGCTAATGATCCGCGACGGCGTTGAAAAAAATCAGTAAACAAACATCGGACGAACAAAACAAAAATTTATATATATGAAATATTCGTTTGGCGTTTTATAATTACCGTCGCGCAAGAAAATTCCGTTTCCAAGTTTGTTTTAATTTAAACATTAAATGAAAATTAGCAAATATACTAGCGTTTTTCTACTTGTTTTGTTTATAATTGTACTTCAATTGTTTATAATATACAATTTAATGACATAATGACATTTAATGACCGATGACAGCTGAAAGTATTTCACCTGTTTCTTACTTTGACGTAAGGTGACATCTGTCATTTCACGATACTTTATAAATTTAACGAGATTCGATAAGTTGAGAAACGCTGCTCCATACCATTTATTAAGAGCTAAGAATATTTCAGCTGTTTCTAATTTTGACGTAATGTCACAACTGTCATACATTAAAAATGTATCGCTACTCGATAGGATGAGAAACGCTGCTCTATACTATTTATTAAGAACTAAGAATATTTTAGCTGTTTCTCATTTTGACGTAATGTCACAGCTGTCAATTCATGATACATTAAGAATGTATCGCTACTCAATAGCTTGAGAAAAGCTGCTCTATACTATTTATTAAGAACTAAGAATATTTTAGCTGTTTCTCATTTTGACGTAATGTCACAGCTGTCAATTCATGATACATTAAGAATGTATTTAT